TTTTTTAAGAGTTGAGAAAAACAGGCTTACGCAACTTAGTTTGCATAAGTGCAGTGAGTCATTCATGTTTTATTTTTGCGTGCTTCTGTGTGTGTGTGTTGTATCACTTTATATAACCTGTCTTTGAGAAAGTACTACTGTGAATGCTAAGAATATATTTCTCCTATAAAATAAAAAAAGAAATATGCCTGTTAGGAAGGTAGCTGCTTCTTGGTGATGTCTCCTCATAGATACTTTTCTGCAGGAGGGCACTTTGGTGATTCTTCTTAAAGTTGTGGTTCTCCAGTGGCAAAGTTTATGATGTGTAAAGAGAAGGCTGGGTAGCTCTATGCTTCCCTTTTAGTGAGCAGAGCTGAGAGTAACTCCACATGATAATGGTTGTTTTACATGTATGTGAACACATACATGTAATACACACGTATAGATATATATACACACATATGTATGTGTGTGTGTGAGAGTGAGTGAGTTTCAAGTGTGTGTAGTCCTTTCAGCAACCGTAGCTTCTGCTTCCTTCCACCTAGGGAAGAGTGGAGCTTCCAGAGCAGTGTACCTCTGTGCTTTGCTGAAATAAACTTGAGGCTTGAATCCTTCATGTAGGTATCAGACAGGTATCTTTCATCAGGCTTGCTTACAAAGAAGCTGGAAGGCTTCATCTTTTTTGACTCTGCTTCTCTGCTCTTTATGGTCAAGTGTACCATGAACTTTTGGCTGCACAGAGTCTATTGTTTGGAAGGCAGTTACAGGTATTAAGTGTCAGTTCTCTTTAAGTGCTAGAATTGCTATTTTATTTTGTTGTTATATGTTTCAGTTGTGTTTTTCTTTGATGTCTGATGGATGCTGCTGTGACTGTGGCATGGAGCTCACTGTTAGTTTTTCCAGAAAGGAGGAATTGTTGTTCATGGTGTAGAGGTAGGTGCATGGGTCTTCTTGCCCCATGACTCTTCTGAGTCTTGCCACATTTCTCTCCAGCTCTCTCCTGTGCCATCATTTTCCTGATCTGATGTGCATCCTCTCTGTCCATGCTAGAAATCCCTGCTGGCATCGAAAGTTCTCCACAACAGCTTCATGCTGATAACTTCCATGCACACTCAGAAATCCCTCCACTCTGCTCTATTGCCCTGTGTTTTACCAAATCAGATTGAGGACTTCTTTCTTTCTGTATTCTTATTTCCATTAATACACATCACAGATTTTATTTTATTTCACTGCTGTCCTAAATTTGGTGCAAGTAGCATTGTTCATTCTTAATGGCAACATTTTAATGGCTCCAGTAATCTAAACTAAAACAGAGAAGCTGTGTGTGCTGTCCAATGCAGACATGTTTGCGGCTGTAAAAGTAAGTATTCTTCTACTACCTAGCTGGCAGATAAGAAGTATCTGGGAGCTGCAGAAGTGCCATGAAACGTGGCTACTCTTTTGAATTTTCTTTGGTAGTGTACTTAAATGAGCATTATTACATGAGAATAAAATTTTAATTAGAATCATAGAACAGTTAGAGTTGGAAGGCATGATAGGATCATCTGGTTCCAATTCCCCCTTCCATGGGCAGGGACCCCCTCCACTAGACTAGGTTGCTCAGAGCCCAGTCCAGCCTGATCTTGAACATTTCTAGGGATGTATAACCCACAACTCTGGGTAACCTATTCCAGTGCCTCACCACTTTCAGATAAATAATTTCTTCCTAATATCTAATCTACCTTCCTTCACCTTAAGGCCATCATTCCCCTTTGTTTTCTTCCTAATGTCTTTGTGAAAAGTCCCTCTCCAGCCTTCCTGCAGGCCCCCTTTAGGTACTTGAAGGCTGCTCTAAGGTCTTCCCAGAGTGTTCTCTTTATGGTCGGAGAGGTGCTCCAGACCTCTGAATAAATTAGTGGCTCTTGTCTAGATCTATTCTTGTCTTTTTTCTGTTGGGGACCCCAGAGCTGGGTACAGAGTTCCTCTGCTTAATCTGGTGAAGTCTCACCAGAGTAAAGCAGAGGGGCAGAATCCCCTCCCTTGTCTTCCTGGCCACGCTGCTTTGGATGCAGCCGAGGATGCAGATGGTTGTCTGGGCTGTGAGTGCACATTGCAATCCCCTCCCTTGTCTTCCTGGCCGCGCTGCTTTGGATGCAGCCGAGGATGCAGACGGTTGTCTGGGCTGTGAGTGCACATTGTTGAATCACATTGAGCTTTTCATCCACAAACATCCCCAAGTTTTTCTTCCAAGGTCTAGTCTCAGTCCACCATCATTAAGAAATTGGTTTCATGTAAGGAATTTTAGTACCTGTCTAGCTTCAAAAATATGAGCAGATTTCATCAATATACATATTACATATGTAAAATCAGCCATGCACTTAGATTCCTTGTTTGATTATCTTCAGAAAAATGGCAAAACAGATTTGGTCTTTAATCCAATTAACATTCCGAAAGACAAAAATACTGGGTAGGAGTCATATACAGTCAGATACAATTGTTTCCTTCAACAGCTCCTGAAAATAAGGCTTCTGCTTCAATCAGCAGATAATAATTGGCATGACATCTGGAAATAAGAAGGATCTTTGAACTTGTGGAACCTCTACAAATTAGAAAAAAAATCCTACTCACACACACAACAGCTATAATTGAAACTGCTTAAATACCCTTTTGCACACGGTTAGGGACAATCTCTACATGGGCGTAGTAGTTACTTTCAGCACTGCTTGATTGCTTCAACTAACGCCTGGTATGAGCAGGCAAATAACTAAATCACCTGTGCCTTTGTATTAAACTGACTTCATATGTTAGAAGTGAGAAATGGGAGGCTCTTAAAAATAAATTACGTCTATATTTTTAACATCTGTTCCTTTGTTTCTTATCAGCCCTTTGTCCCTAATGGGTGTTATCCTTGTGCACTCTTCTATACCCATGCTGCATTAAGTCAATTACAGAGTCAGAGAACGGGTCAGGTTGGAAGAGACCACACTGGGTCGTCTGGTCCAACCTCCCTGCTCAAGCAGGGCCATCCTGGAGCACATGGCATGGGGTTGTGTCCAGATAGTTCTTGAATATCTTCATTAAGGAAGACACCACACCCTCTTTGGACAAACTATACCAGTGATTGGTCACCTGCACAGTGAAGTTCTTCCCCAAGTTCAGGTGAAGCTTCCCATGCATCAGTTTCTGCCGCTTGTCCTGTTGCTGGGCACCACTGAGAAGAACCTGGATCGATCCTCTGTCAGCTTTCCTTCAGATAATGACAGACATTGATCAGGTCCCATCTCAGTTGTCTTTTCTCAAGGCTGAACAGGCCCAGCTCCCTCAGTCGTGCCTCATAAGAGAGATGCTCCAGTCTCTTGATCGTCTTCATAACCATACACTGGACCCCCTGCAGTAGCTCCATGTCTCTCTTGTACTGAGGAGCCCAGAACTGGACACAGCACTGCAGATGTGCCTCACCAGGGCACAGTAGAGGGTCAGAACCACCTCTCTTAAGCTGCTGGCAAAGATCATCCCAATGCACTCCAGGATCCCATTGGCCTTCTTGGTCCCCAGGACACACTGCTGGCTTATGGACAGCTTGTTGTCCACCAGGACTCCCAGGTCCTTTCTTCAGAGCTGTTTTCCTGCTCAGCCCCAGCCTCTGCTGGAGTTGTTCCTCCCCAGGTGCAGGACCCTGCATCTGCCTTTGTTGAATTTCAGATGTTTCTTCACTTCCCATCCCTCCCGCCTGTCGAGGTCCTTCTGAAGAGCTGCACATCCCTCTGGAGTATCAGCCATTGCTCGCAGCTCTGTGTCATCAGTGCACTTGCTGAGGAGGCATCTGTTTATTCATCCAAGTTATTGATAACTAAACAATATTGGGCCCAGTGTGGAACCTTGGAGGACACCACTAATGGCAGGCCTTGTGCCACTGATTACAACGCTCTGAGATCTGCCATTCAGCCATTTCTCAGTATACGTTGTCCATAGAAGTCAATAATCTAAGCCAGCCATCTCAATGTACCACATACAGTACCAGGAATTTTAAAAGTCTTGCCAGAAGGTGAATGTCCACTTGCATTAAAGGGTGGTCCTGTAAATTCTTTGCAGAGTGCACTTGTGTGCACTCTAGACATAAAGATAAGACACTAGAGAATTGGGCTGAGCACACAAGATCATATGATCTATTCAGGGAAATATACCCTCTTTCTTAAAAGTCATTGAAGTTTGAGTTGAAATTAAACATTTGCTTCCTGCTAATGCTGCTTTGCAGATTTTTTCACATGCTTTAGTGAAGAATCAAATATTTTATTACTTACAGAAAGAAATAATTAACAGCCAGAGCATTAAAGAAAAGAATTAAAGCTTTACAAGGCTCAAATTAATCTTTCTGAGTTTTTCTGTTGCATGCTCATCTGACTGCTTGAAAACCAATCTCTAGAACTAAATTTTTAGCAACAGGGTTTTAGAAATTTCACAGAAGTTCATTCAAAACAAGTTAACTTTATATAACCATGATAAAGTAGGAATAATTACACTTTAAGTAACTCTTATGATAAGTTTTCTGATGCCTGGAATAGAAATCTGGGTTACAACTTCACTGAGCAATGATGTAAGACATCAGTACACTGCTTTATTCCAGATAAAGTAAATAGCCCTCTCTACCAAAGTCAAAGGAGTGATCCTGCTCATAGCCACAAGTTTGTTCTGAGCTTGCCTGAACTTTGTCAGTAATATGTTTTCTCTGCATAAACTAGAAGGCTGGTTAAGCTTTTTATTAATGCATTCTTTACTTACTGACTTGCCTTTGCCTTCTCTTCATCTTAATGGATTTTTTTAATATTGCCTTTTGCATGGCTGGAAAACTAATCCAATCTATTTTGGATATCAGTGAGTTGAAATTTATACGAAACAGTATGTTCTTTATCTTAACCAACTACCTTGAGAAGTCATTGCTACTGTTTTTAAAAGTACATGGCCAACAAGTCACAGTAGCTGAATAGCATGGGGATCAATTCATTACTAAAGTTTCTTACAAAGCTTCTTTGGAAAAATTCCAGAGAACCATGGAGAATATCCTATCAGAATTGAGGAGAAGAGGATTGTTTTCCATATTCTTTGAGATTATTTCTGGCGCTAATATAGCCTGGGATGCAGAAGCCACCCCATGCCAAGCTCCTGCAGGGTTTATCAGGTTACATCAACAACATATTGGGAAGCAGGTATTCAGCATTACCAGCCTTACTCTGGATCACAGGAATGGACTTGAAATAATGCATATGGAAAATCCTTTTAGAGGTATGTGGGAGGGCAAAAATAAGCTTCAGCAAGCTATTATTGGAGACTTCTTGAACCACTGTTTTTATTTGTGGGCCAAATACTGCAGTAATTAAGCAGCAAAATGAAGGGAATATGCTTTGCTTTTAGTGGAAATTAACATTGGTTTTCTCCAGGCATTCAATCACTTAACTCAGTTGTCTTTTTATATTATTCAAATATGATACACATTAGTTAAACATAAGTGGTTGAAGAATCTTGTTGCAGAATGCCTCTTGAGAGAGAAGTATGTTATAAACATTTCTACTAATGGAATATTTATGTTAATGTAAATTAACTCCATAAGGGTGGCAAACCCTTTGAAAGGTGAATGTGATGTTCCTGCTGCACAGTGATGCTTTTATTATTTTGTTACTTTCACAGCACAAGGAGTGGTGTACAGCTTCTGCTCTAGCCATCCAGGAATTTTCAAATGCAGATTTGGTGATCCTCAAGAATGCAGGTCTGTCACACAATGAAAATGTAACTCAGAATCATATGATGCTGTAGACAGGAAGGATGTTTTGCAGAAATAATTGAAAGAACTGTGATCTGAGAAAAAAATGCCAAATGAAGTGAATCTGTAGGAAAGCAGTGCAAAACAAAGAGCTACAGCTAGCAGGTAGCAGATTTACTGAGATTGATAGAGGTAGTGATAATTTTGAAGTGATCAGTTGCCAAGAATATTAGGGATAAGAACCTAAGAATGACAAGAAAGACTACAGTGATTGTCATCTCTGTTTCCTATAATTCAAGATATGAGCATTTCCTTAGAGATATGAGGTCTGACAAAAGCTGAAAGGATGCAGGAGACTGGTAGCAGACCTTGCCTGGAAAGCATTCCTATTGATATTGCTGAATTAAAGACCCAAACACTTTTCAGGGAGTGGAAGCAATGGTTTTGTAATCCCCTCTGGATAACCTGTCTCTGCAATGTCTCAGCTTTTGTATTTTCATTTGTATATATACATAAACATCTATGCATATGAATGTGTGCACACCTGAATCCTTCTGTGAGGGAGAGTTTGGGCACAAGAGCTTTAGAGATAGTGGAATGGAAGAAATGGTTGCACCATTCTTTGGAAGATAGTGCAGCAGGCAAGAGGGGCATGCCAGTTTTAATAGTCCCCAGCACTCTCCCTCTGCTCTTCTGTGTAAGAAAAAACAGAGGCTCTGGAGGTGAGGAAAGGGCAAAGACCGGTGAAGTTGGGCCTGGGGTCTCTGAGCACACGGGACCAGCTGCCTGTTTTGAAGTTCCCTATCAAATGTAAGAACAACCTGCTAAAACCGCTTCGATTCTTCAGAGATTTTTTGCTTGTTTTTGCTGTATGCAAATTTGTTATTAAAATTATTTATATTGCACAAAGTGCTCTATCAACTGTGTTCTATTAATTCAGGAATGGCAGTGATAAAATCTAGTTATTTCCAAAGAATTTGGTATGCCACATTTCCCAAGTGGGATCGGATTACAAAGACAGTTCAGCTCCCAGTTAGGCTCTTCAGTGAAGTGGTTAGATTTTTGACAGCACTCTGCATCCAATGAGCCTGGTGTTCATTTTCAGGAATGGAAGCTGATGAGCTCTTCTGAAAATGTAACCTTTTGTACTTAAATATTTGTGTATTTTCTTCCAATCCCATTTTCCATGAAGTTATGTGATATTTTTTCTTTGTTATTTTCAGAGTCTTTTTCCTTGTTTAATAAAACTAAATAGTTCTGCAAGAGTCCCACTGCATTTCTGTGCAATGGGATTTTCATATTTTTGTGATTATTTGTTCACATTTTTGTGATTTTCATTATATTTAAACCCCATGTGTTCATAAATAAGTACACAAAAGAAACCACAAATACCATGATGAGTTATACAGTAGTGATAACTCCAAGTACAAATACTAAATATAAAATGTAAGTTGTTATTTGTATAGCAAATTAACATGAATGACTGATGAATCACAGTAAATCCACAAACACATGCTGAACTGGGATTTTTTGCACATGTAAATCCATTTGCCTTAACGCCTTGTTCCTTGGATAATTATGGCAATTTTATGAACTTACATCTTTCCAAGAACTACAGATGACTTTCTTGCAATGGAAATCAGTATGGTGGCCTAACCCACATTCAAGAAAAATCTGCAAGAGAGGAATATTTAAAGATTCTCTCAGTTTCAGGTGTTATGGAAGCTGTTAGCTTCCAATTACTGATGAATACCTGTGAATACTTAAAAAAATGTACATCATATGACCAGACTGGTATGCTGGTGATGCCAGATAATTCCAAGGTACCTCTAAATCATTGTCACTGGTGTCATCTTACTTATCAAATAGTCTCTGTTGCTGTCTTTCCACACTAACTTCACCCTGACAGCTCTGCTTCCAGTCTTCATGATGCACACCATGCTTCTGGCATTGATGCTGCACATCTGTCAGGTTCTCCCTACACATTGATGCCATTTGTGAGATTCTCATTCCTACACTTCCCAAAGACCTGCTTTCTATACTGTGCAGAAAAAGTACTCATTGCTGCATTAAATATTCTCAGCAAGAAAAGCCAGTCATGCTTTCTCTTGTTCCATTCTCCTTCCTCATGTCAGCTGTCTGACTTTCATCACATTACCTTTGTCCTCTCTCTGTGTGTCAAGTTGAATTCTGCAATCTGGATGAACAAGTAGCAACTCTTTTCCTTCCCACTGTAGCATTTCTGGTATGTTCTGGAATCTTAGTTTTGATATAGGTAGTGATTAATAGTTTCAACAATTCATGAAGTGCTACTGGTCTGTGTTAGATGTGTTAGTGGTCTCTATTTAAGTCCTACAAATAACTAGGTTGACAATAAGCATGGTCATCCTGCAAACAAAGTGAAGGTGGGCAACAAACTGTGACTTCTTTCTCTAAACTATTTTTTAAGTGTTACCTCATCTTCCCATGCCACCCCCTTCATGTATTCACATACTCATTGCCTTCTTGGTCTGACTCTGAGCTCAGTGTCCCAGGGACTCTTTATAGTGTGGAGCTGGTATTTACTGCTCCACACTATTAGTGCAGTGTTCTGTAGCTTGCATCCTTGCAGCATTCCTGGTTGTGATGTTAATGGATTGCTATTTGGGAAATAATAATGGCAAAGGTGGCATGAGATGGAGAGGCATGGAAGCATTATGCTGATCTTTTTCCCTGGAACTGGTGCCTGGTGTAATCAACATAAAGGGGTGGGTGGGACAGGGGTCTTCAGTTGCCCCATTCTCAGCTGAGCTCTGTCTGTTTCATGTCTGTTGGAAGGATTTCATTCCTCAGGACAGTCTGTCTGTCTGGCCCCTTTTACAAACAATCGGATCAGTTTCAGCACATGAAAAAAGCAAAGGCCTGGTTGCATGGATCTGGGGGAGAGGCAGCAGTACCAAGCTCCAGCAGAAAGCTAACCATTCCTTCCACTGTTCTTCTGCCTTTCTCCCTCCTCCTACTGAGCCCTGCAGAGAGATTAGCGATCAGACTGTAAATTCCCCAAGTACAGAAAGTAGTAAACCTCCCATCCCCTCCCCAAGAGGACTTGTGTGCTGACAACAGCTTCATTCAATCTGACACCTGTTTCACTTTAAAACAGGCCCCTATAAATAGAGTGAATGTAACCCTAGGTGGCATTGCAAAATATTATGGAAAACATGGCTTACAACCCTGAGAAAAAGGGGGAGTAGAGAGAGTGGGGGTGGGCAAAAAGACATTATCTACCATAAAAACCTGGCAGCTTCATGCAAGTGCTGTTGCTTTTAATTTAAATGCTCATTTCTTATTCTATTTTCAGATCCTCTCTGGGATTTTAGGAATGTTGAGACGTGCTGGTTATAAAGCCCTAAGTACAAAATGGTCACGGATGGCTGGAATGAGGCATGTTCTAATGGAAACAAATCACTTGTCAGTAAGCAGCCTTCAAACTTTTGAACAAAAGCTCAAAAGGGTCAGGGAAAAGACATTGTTTGTTGATTTAAAATGGCTGGATGCAGGTCATCAGGAAGGCAAAGGCTTCAATATTCTTGAGGTAACTCTTCAGTTCTGTGAGTTTTAAACAAGGTTAAATACTTTGATGGCAACCACAAATGGAATAAGGAACTTAAATTAAATAGAAAGCTGACACATTATTATGCATAATACCAAAATGTAAAGCACGTACACCACTGCAAAACAGCCGCAGAGTGGAGCTCAGCTGTGGGAACCGTATTTAGCTATATAGACATGAGTGTTGTGAGGAAGACTGTGCTGTATCTACTGAAATTTAGAAGGGTGTCCAGTATTCCTGTAGGTGTCTGTGATTCATTGATCTTTTGGTTAGTTAAAATAGTGGAGCTTAGCATTATAGTGATTTGATGATAAATCCAAGACCCTGTTTATTCACCTTTCTGTAGGTTTTAACTCTTACGTGAAATTTTTCAATGCAGTAATTAATCTTTTCATATTTGCTTGCAAAACCCATAATGAGGTTCATGACCCCTAGAACAACTATAATGAGTGATCAGCTCTTCTTTTTCCTGTGTAATATTTTCTGTTGTTCTGTGAAATTAAAAATGTTAGTATATATAAATTGAATAAGGCGAATTAATTAGTCCTTGTGGAACATCATGTTGAGTCTCCTAATTCCACTGTAGCTTGCTTTCATAAGACAATTGTGCTTCTGCAATCTTTGTTTATAATCAGTCTACCTGTCTGCTATTTGCCCTCACAAGCAGCTTCTGAGCTTGTTCAGTCTTCAGCTGAATTTGAAGAGTGTTTGCAATAATTATATTTTTACTAGATTTGTGGAAACTGCTTTCCGTCTAGAAGAAGAGAGGCAGTACCTTTGCAGAAGGGAAGGCAGATAAAGAAATTGTCAGCAGTCAACATGGGGCTCCATGGAACAGTACACACAGTTTTGTGCATAAAGGAATGCAGTGAGGACTGATAAGGCAGGTTTGGGCACAGGTGACCGGGGAAAGAAATCTGAAGGGACAAAGGTTTGACCTCCATTAGCAACCAGTTTTCATTTCAGTGTTCATAGAATCATTTCATTTTCATATGGAAAACAGCAGCAGGAGAAAAGGGAATGACTATTGCAAAATGGTATCTGTGAGCTTCAAAGTGCAGGACAGTCTTTTGGTGTTGCTGAGGTTTGCTCTAAGTAAACATCATTCTGCTTTCAAAGGGAAGAATCTGAGACACTTTCTTCATAGAGTTTAGACTTGCACAAAGGCACCAAATGACTCAGCAGCAGCCAGGTACAGCATATAGACATTTAAGTAGCTTAGAATTGTTTAGTCATTTAGGTTGGAAAAGACCCTTGAGATCATCAAGCCCAAACATAACCCTAACACTGGTAAGCCCACCAGTAGATTGTACCCCTAAGCACCACATCTGCACATCTTTTAAATAGCTGCAGGGATGGTGATGATTTAACCACTTCCTTGACAGCCAGTTCCAACTTTGATAGCCCTTCTGCTGAAGACATTTTTTTCCCATATCAAATCCCTTCCCAAACTGAGGGGCAAGTTGAAGTTATTTCCTCTCAGCCTGCCACTTAAAATCTTTGAAAAAGGCCAATCCCCACCTTGCCACAAACTCCTTTTAGGCAGATGTAGACAGCATAAAGCCTCCCCTGTGCCTCCTTTTCTCCAGGCTAAACAACAGAGCTCTCTCTGCTTACAGGACTTGTGCTCCAGACCCTTCACCAACTCAATTGCCCTTCTGGACAATCTTCAGCATCTCAGTGTTCTCTTGTAGTGAGTGGTCCAAAACTGAATGCAGGATTCAAGTTGTGGCCTCATCAGTGCTGAGTACAAGAGGACAATCACTGCCCTGGTCCAGTCCAATGTGGCCAGCAGCTTACACATATCTTCACCCACCATATGTCTAGCCATGTCAAATATTGTCCTTCCACAAGGCTCTGGAGCTCATCACTGCTCCCCATTCCTGCTTTTTATGTTGCTCTTTGGGCCCTTAAATTTTCATTTGTTACTATTGCAAGAGGAGAGCCTTGCCCTTGGCAATCTCTTGCCATTCACAAAAGCTGTTGTATGTGTTGCCATGACAAGGAAAACATCTTCCAAATGCCACTCGTTGGTTTGTTTTTGCCAGAAATGAGGCCATGCTGCTGAAGAAGGATTGCAAAATAGTCTGCAGAGAGGTCCAGGTGATATGGACCAAAGCAGCCTGATACCTAAGTTAGCTTTGTTTGAAGTTAACTTGGGGTTGGCCATAGTATCCTGCTCTGTTCACCTGCCTTAGATATGGCAGCTGATAGTTAATGCTTTTTCATACTGTTCTTCTTTCCTGACCTATCCATCATGTTAAGGACACTCTGAGACCATGGGGAGGAGTAATCCCGGGAGACACTCCATGTTTTTTCTTCAGATGCTACCCTGCCTTGATGAAAGCTCATCAACAGTTTGGGTTTCTCAGCATTAATGCAGATGTGTTTGCAAAGACCTTATACTTGCATTAGAAATGCCATTACCCTTATCTACAGAGCACTGCTTCAGTCCTGCTGCACCACTGAAGCTCTGTGTTGAAGCCCTGTGATCCATTGTAGACTATTCTGGGTCCTGAGGTAGAGGAGGCATGAGGCAAGGACTAGATTTTATTCCACTACTGTGGTTAATTTGTATATAGGAATGCAGTAGTACTGGGAAATGCTAAAGGCTGGGGTGGGAGGGAAGGCAGAGGTACTACTGCAAATTGCTGCTGTGTCTCCCAGCAGACCAAGCATATTTCTCTTTGCCCAAATAAGCATCAGATAGGATAAAACACTTTTAGAAGACTTAAGCCTTGATACTACATTCATTTCTGGGACAGAATTATGCCTGCTGCTCATGTGAATTGAATTTAACGTACTTGCGCACGCACACACACAGAGTTTTTTGGTTTTATCACATGGCTGCCAAAAATAACACTGAAACATGTAAGTTAAGCGTGCTGTTAAAACACAATGGCACTTCATTACTGTTGAGGGCAGCTCAGGTTTCCTTCTCAGCATATCACCAGCAGGCAGTAATGGAGGAGTACAGAGGGCAAATGAAAAGAACAGTGAAACCTCATGGCATTTTATCCTAAATGTCAGGCATGGTCAGCCTTCCCTGGTGAGTTCCCCAGTCTATAGGTTTAGCATCTTTAGGAATTATCTCTCATGGTGGTCAGTTCAACATAGATAAGGTAATATCAAATTGTCTGATTTGATAATCCTCCTGGAGGATTTCTTTATCCAAAACTACAGCAGTTGGCCTTATAAATAATTTCTCTTCAATCAGCAGAGTCTCTGTTTCCTCTGTAACTCTTACTATCTTAATTTCATAACTTGCTACTTCTCTGACTTTCAATTAACACTTCATTTAGGTTCTTTACTTAGACACTGTAGGTGTAGCCTTTTGAAATTCTTCTGTAATGCGCTTTTAGTGCTGTCACTTCAATTAGGGGCATGGTAATGACTAACCTCTGCTCCTGTACCTCTGTTGCTCTGTTGCATAATGACTTTTCAGAAGTTCTGAATTAATGCAGGTCAGTTGATAATTTGGGGCTACATGGCAATATAGTGCCTAGAAAAAAAATCCCTTTGTAATCTGAAAAATCTTACGGGAGTGTTGCATAACTTGAGGAGTATATTAGCTCATTAACTAGGAGTCTGTAGTGTGAGAATGGGTAAACATGATTACTATCACTAAAAAAAAAAATAAAACCCTGTACTTCCTAAGTAGTGTTCTCATAATACAACATCATAGTAGCTCCAGGTAATGGTAGATGTTGCAAGGAAACCCTTCTGTTCCAGAGTCCTGTCACTGGCTAACGCTCATACTACAAGCTGGCACAGCACAACCTCTGCTCTGAGTTTTCTTGCTAAATGTGCCATGTGTGCTGCTGCTGTAGAAATTCTTGCTGTGCCATTTGCTCCATTCTGACCCATTCTATCCTCTATGCCACCCAGCAGCTGTCCACAGGCAAAGAAGAAAATTTAAATTGCATGAGGTCACTAGCAAGTTGATTTTTAGGCAGTTGATGGAAGAAAACACAGTGACTAATATCTATAAATTGTGAGTGCATTTTCTGTTTAGAATGTAAGGGGGGTTTCTGCACTGATAACAAGATACTTTTTTTTAGCTCATTGTGTAATGACAATTCAAGACGAGATCTTGATAGCAAGACCACAGCAGTTACCAGGGAGTGTCTTGAAGCACTGAGTTGCTGGCATGGTGGAGAGTGTTGTTATGAAATTGTTTTTTAAAATAATTCTGGAATTCTACCCCACTTTTTGCTTATTTTAAGATTCATATGCAATGTCTTGAATGTCTATGTCCTGAATTACGCTGCTAGTAGATCCCCCCAGCTGGTCTGTCCAGTAACTGTTGGCTAGTAGTATCATGTTTCAGTGTTAAAACTTTAAAAATAATTTAATGACAGCTATGTTTAGTGACATCATATTAGCACCCATATGACTTGACTCTCCCTTGCATTCTGCCTGAGAACATGCAACAGCTGCATTGTGCCCATATATGTCATATCGCTTCAGGCACAGTCAAATTTTTAGAAAGAGGGAATTATACTTTCACTGATTACCGCATCTCTCTCACCTGTATAGGCTCTACATTCACTACACAGATGCTTTAGTCTTCACAAACCTTTGAAGAAAAAGCATTAGAAGTTTCCTAAAGAAAGTCTGTACGGATTATTTTTAGTAATATTATTCCTTTTAGGGTGGAAAACACAAATTTGGAGACAGAGGATTTCTTCTTAAAATACTGCAAAGCCTTTATTGTCACTTAAGTGTTCCAGGACAATATTAATAGTTTTTTTCTCTTAAGGAAGAGTAGTGTTTTCAAAATAATAGTTGAAAAATACGGATCTTCCCACTAGAAAGCTTTTGCATAGAGAACCCCTATTGTTCAGGGACAATTATTTCTGGAAAACCTTGTATCACCTGTCTTCCCTATCTACCTGCTTTGCTATTTTCATGCTGCTGTGATTTGCTATCACCTTGCATATTAGTAATTCTGCAACATAGGTACTGGTCAGAATTTGCTCTTAGCCACATTGCTGACAGTCAGAGTAGGTTGGGCAATATCACTGACAGATGCAGAGCTGTGAATAGAATTTGTTTGCCTTTTTCTATCAGTCAGAGATTTCTTTTTGTCTATTTAAGAATATATTCTTTTCATTTTCCTGTGTGGAGAAATAGTGTTTCTCTTGGCCATCATCACGTTACTTTTCAATCAGTTAAGAAAAGTGCTTGCTGAAGATAACAGTGTGATCTCCTGATGTCAGATCTCTTTTCTCCTCTGTGAAAAATTGAGTATGATACCTCATGTGTCTCTAACTGGCATGTAAGGCATTATGTTTGTATGTCACAGGACAGCTAGTTCAGAGGATGCTGTTGAAAGTTTTACCCTATCTTTACCATGTGAAAAATAGGAGAACTACTTTGCCCACTCTGGTTCCAGTTCAGGTATAAAGCTGTCATATTGTAGCCTTGAAGTCTGTGTAGCAAAGATGTCTGAGCAATGTCCACTCAGTGCCATGTATGGATTTAACTGTCCCTGCTGCCTCTCCTTTTGAAGTCCGGGTTGCAAAGTGATTTCATAGGTAAACCTGGCTGTGCTGTCAGTTTCACCCTGGAGAGCGTGATTTTTTAAAATCTGATTTACATGACAGGCATACTTAAAAAACCTGTCCTGTCCTGAGGTCTCTGGTGGCAGGTGACAAAACTGAGCTATTAATAAAAAGAAGAGCTGATAATGCAACCTGTGTGATCAATCCTGTGCTGTGGTCTGTGTCCTCAGAGGGATAAGCAGCAGCCAGGCTTCTAGGAAGGCTGTGTGGTCTGCCACAGTTGGCTGCTGGCAACTTTCCCCATCTTGTTATAGAATTCATTCTGGTTAATAAATTGGTTAAAAACTATTTAAGTAGAACAGCCTGACATAGCTTGTCAGATACAGTATTGTGTCAGGAAGCCAAAAGATGCATTTGCTCCCAGTTTTCTGTCATGTTTTGTAACGGTCGACGAATTGCCCATGCCGCCACTCAAAAGAAATCCATTGTTAGTCCAGCTTGCTAGGCAGACAAATTGCTTTGAGTAGAGGCTGTTTTTGAGGGCGGCTTCTACAATGTCCAGATAGGTCATGGCCAAGACAGGAACCCCTATAGCCTATGAGGATCTGTATTTCGTGTCACTATTACATTGCGAAATGAACCAATGTTCCCTTGGATGACGACTCCCCTGCTCTTTGTAACCTGCAGTAGGTATGGGAGGTGGCTCAATAAAACTAGTTTTCATAGAACATATTGGGTCTTCAGAGGAGAGAGAGAGCGAAATGAGAGGGACAAGAAGATTGATGCTGTTGCCTGAGTTAAGAGGATGAAATATGATGAGATGTGGGGCAGAGCCTGATTTGAGAGCAAAGGCACGGTATTTGCAACTGACTTAACGTACAGCAGCAAATCTGTGAAGTGGCTCAAATAAAGGTCCCAAATGTTTTGCCTGTCCTACATACCCATGGCAATTTCAAGCACAGTTATCTGGGCTGAGCTACCAGGGCTTAGGGAATCATCATGTGTGGGAGCTTTTCACTCTCCCCAGTTTGTGACTGACCATAAACACAGAAGTTATTTTTTCTCATGCTGGAATTGATCAATCCATGCCTTGATTCCAATCCTCATGGGAGAAAATTGGAAAGCAGATAATGAATCTGTTTTTCCTCTTGTTAACTGAGTTGTAAATGTAAGGAAATTCAGCCGCACCTGAAGATGGAATATTGCAAAAATTGCATTAGTGAGAAGAAAATAAGGCTTTTCAGTTTAAGAAAGAAAAAAAGCTCAGCAACTTCATAGGGTCATTTGTTCAGTTGCTTTTAAAAATGTGAAGAAGATTCAAGAGAAGAGTGAAGAAAATATTTGAATAACATTAGCATTTTATTTCATAGCTACCTTGTCCTCTTGTTGATCCTTCACTAGAAGTAAAACTTGGGAAGCTGATGGAGTTCAGAAAGTAGCAATGAAAATCATTAATGGGATGCTGTCATTTGCTTTACTAGGAAAGTGGTTGTGGCTGATTTATACAAAGTGCTCTAAAAGGACCCGTTAACATTATGGATGGAAATGAAATACTAAATAACATGATGAAGATTATTAAATTGCCAGATGAAACAAAAACTAAGGTATGTCATATATTAGAAGGTAGAGTAGAGAGGTGAGGATTTAGCAGATTTATTAACTTTACTCAACAGAATCACTTCATTACATACCTTGATTTTTAAAGGAAATATTTCCAAAAAGGTAGGTTAAAAAGAAGATACTTTTAATGCACTGCATAATGGTGATATAGGGCATCAAAGTTAGCATGAGGCACTAGAGAAAAAAATATGAGATATGTCCAAACAAACTGAAGCGGCCATTTGAGTTCCATAAAGCAAATGGACACTGCCAGCATTTACCTGCATTTGTCAATTCTGGCCCTCTGACTGATACCACATGAGCAATTTCACACAGTAAGAAAAATCAGATACTTTAGTTACTTCACTCATACACCTGATTTGTGTGTACAGCTGTAGCTACCTTGCTTGTTGAGTGAGCAGCAATTCTAGGTAAGTAGCACTCAGAGCAGAAACTCTTAAAATGAGGCAGCATGTGTGAAACAGAGCAAAGGACTGACTTTCTGTAGCTGCACTATCCAAGCAAGTATTGTTTCATGGCTTTAGTGGATCACCTACAGACTTCTTCCCTCATATTTGAAGACAGGTTATTACTTCATGAAATAGGATACTAGGGATTGTGCATGTATCCAAAAGCAACATAAATGCATTGCAGATTGGTTTTGCTGTTTCAGAAAGCATGTTCACATACACAGTCTTGAAAGAAGGTGGGAGCAAAGCCAATGTAGAATTAACCACACTGAATAACTTGCACATTTTCAATGAAGTCTTTCATGTATTCTCTGCTTTTCAAAAGTGAACAAGGGCCAAAACCAGCCACATCACTTGGATTTGCTATAATGAACTCCTGCTTCTCTGCAGTCTGAATCTAAGCCACTATCCTACACTTACCACATCATAAGAAACCACTAACCCTAACTATGAGACCAGTACATTCATGTCTCTACAATGTGTTCGTTACACTCACATTAATAAATGAATATAATGTTACAATGCCTGTGCCACTAAACAACACCTGTTCCATACAATGGAAACAAGGCACTCCATCATTAAATATATTATCTTCTTAACAAAGAACTGCACAACTGTTTGGCTAGAACTGTGAAGCAAATGGTGTATTTACATATGAAAAGAAATTTGTGTACATTTGATGAATGACAGAATAATTGCTATATATGGCAAGGAAAATGGAAGTTAAATATTTTGTATACTCATTACTGCTATTGCAAGTAAGTTGGAAAGGCCTTGATGTAGCTGTGAATGTACCTTTCTTGACCACTTCAGCTAGGCAAAGCTTACATGGGCTGCTGGCAGCATCGCAAGAATAAGCTTTAGTTCTAGGAATCTTAGCCAGAAAAGGTCTGGTACAATATGTTCAAATCATTCCCTACAAACACATATAAAATGGGTTTTGTCCACTTGATTTCATAGCTCTGAGATGTGGGTCTTCCACCACTGCACTTAGAAGTCTTGTCTGGATTTAAATTAATTCCTGAGTATGATAATTTTTTTCCTTTTTATTTAGTGAACATTCTTCTTTTTTCTTGTTATTCTCACTATACCATTGAAACCATTCATAATTATAGGTCTTGACCTGAGATAAGCAACCCCAGCCCAAACCTCTGTGGTAGCAGTGGTGGAAAGGTTAAAGGGGTAGAGCACCCCAAACTGGGTTCTACACCTCCTTCAAAAAGCTGCAGGATAGAGAAAGAGATGTGATCAAAGGCTTTTAGACAAGATGCTAGATAAAGAAAAGAGAAAATGTTAATTTTCTACTTCAGTCGCTTCTGCTACACACACAAGCATGCACATACATAAATGGGAGGAGACTTTTCATTGCAAATTTCCCTTGAAATTGGTGTTGTCAGCAGTTATCTGGTGCTAAATACTAGGCACAAGAATAAAGATGCTACCCTTGCTGCAATCCAAATCTTACTGACCTGGTAGGAGGGGAAGATGGCAGCTTTGGTGCAATGCATCAGTGAAAAGGTGAGAAATAGCAGGTGAAGAGAAGGACCTAGATGGCTGGGGAAGAACAGTAGGTTCTTGATTTAGGAATATCCATGTTCAGAAGCGTTGATCTGATATGCAGAAATACTAAACCCTCACAGCAGAAACTGATGGCAGTGAGAATCATATTTGGCAAATATAGAGTGCTCTTGAGTACTGAGAATTGGAGCTGGCAACTCCACTGGCCACACAAAATAGCTTACAGTATAGACAAATTTAACTTTTTTTCCTCACTGAAACTCATCCTTTTGTGCATCTAAAAATGCTACTAATAACATCACACTTTTAGTAAATGTATTCAGGTTTATTTAAAGGGAAAACAAAAACCAAAACAGGAAACAATGTGAACATATGATGATGTAGAAGCCAGATAAAAGCCTGAGAAAAATAAAATTTCTCTTTTGTTATAGGGTTTGAAAATCATGCAGCAAATGACACCTGAGATCTCATGCTGAATGAGTAGGACAAACATAAGTATTGAGTAACTGCCCATTCACTGAAAGAAGGCAAGGTTCCAGCAAAATACCTGACCATGTTTTATATTATTTACTTGTCTATAGGTATGAAGTGTGTAACTGAACTTGGCCACGGAAACTGAGCTTGGAGAGCATGATGGGGGGGCTCAGTTAAGAGGCAGAGAAAAACCTTAATCCTGTTGCTTAATTTACACGGGTTCAAGGGCTTGATTTTGTGAGTCTAATTATTCTTTTCAGCTTTCTTCTCCAGTGCAGCTCATGGGTATGGAAAACAACATGAACACTTTCTGAAAGACAGCTGGCACAGCTGGTTCCTCAGCACACATGACCACAAACCAAACCTCATACTGTCAGCTTAATCTTTGCTTTGGCTTGTTTATATTAGTAACCCATCAAAATGTGTCAGTGTATACCAACCTCTTCTTCCATAAACACTTTTTTTTCTCTTGTAGCTGATTTTTATATGCGCAGCATACTGCAAGCTGCATAAATATCAAGCTCCTTGTGGTACATAAGCATACCCAGGAAATAGTGATTGCCTGGTAAAGCATTTTAGGCTGGCAACTTGGGAACTCTGTAATGAGATCTTGCACAATGTTTGTTCACTCTTAGAAGATCAGAACGTTCCTTGCCAAACCCTCAACCTTTAAGTGGAAATAGGACACATTGCCCTTCCAAGAAGATACAGATAGGATGGCACAACTCTTCTGACATGAGCAGAGGCAAAAAGACCTAAAAGAAGCAGGTATTTTCATCTAATAAGATGTGTAACCACAATTTTCCTCTTCTTATTGACTCTTACCAGGAGGTTTGTACATTTGTTTTTGGAACATAATGCGTAGTAACCATGTGTGGTAAAGCAAGAAGACCTAACACTATTAGAGCTTTCATACCTGTTGAATAGAACTACAGCTCATAATAATGTGATTTGATCTATTTTCAGTTCCTCACATTATTTTTAACAAAGTACAGTTTCTCACAGTCACAATTACAAATCTGATATTTAAAAACAGCATTTTATCAAAACTAAGAATTGTAGTGTACCAGACAAATGCCCTAAATATGAGAAATGGATTTTTTTTAATATATTTTTCCTGGTGTTTTATTTGTATATCCATTAATCTTTTCAACAATATTGATAGTAGATACAGCTGCTAATGGAACAAAAGAGAAGGGCAGCTATTCTTCCTTCTTAGATTATCCCCAAATTCTGATCATCACATGATTTGCTGAAGCAAGTGACCCTAGGAAAAGAAACAGACAAAACAAAGATTTTTTTAAAACAATAATAAAAAAAAATTTAAACTGTCAAATGATGAATTGGCCCATTGGATTTTTCAGAATGGACCTGCCTCAGTTCCATTTTGGAACAATCAAGTTTTAGTATATGGTCATGGATCAAGTAATGTTACATTGCCTTGAGATTAGTATCAGACTCAGTATACTCAGTTTACTCAGTGTAAACTAAACTACCACTGTCATCTATGTGTGCTTGTCACTGTCAATAATAATAATAATTTGAAAGCAGGAAATATTCAGCAATTGGTTTAATGTTCAATGAGATCCACTGCCAGAAAAAGTTACCGGGATAATACAGTTTCTCCTGAAAATGTTATTCTACTTTTCTACCCTCAATTAAACAAACTTTGTAGACCTAGTGAGAATACATGATTTTATTCAGTGGAAAAAGGGTTGGGTATTTTGTTTAACAATAGACAACGTTGTGTTTATTTCTTTAGATCAATGCAGAGATGCAATATCACAAAGTAAACCATGTAAACCAAACTCTTGTTGCTTTCTGGCATCTTTGGCCAGTTTTGCCTTTAGCACACACTTATGAGGAGGTGACGAGGTAACTGTCAGTAAACAAATGAACAGAAAGGATGTTAATCCCAAAACGTGCCAAGGAGGCCAGCTAGAGCACAGAAGAGGCATTTTTGTTCTACCTCTACTTAGGCCAGTCAAAACTGAAATCCCAAGATTTACATAGTATAATATCAGATATGCTCAATGCATAGCATGGTCATAGCGCAGTAAGACAGCAGATGTTATGACAGACAGCCTTCAGCTGAGGTTGTCAGAAATTTATGTGGCATCAAAGCATCCCCATCTCACCAGATGTCCTACTCCATGAGCCAGATAGGCACCTACAAGCTGGCTCCCTGGCTGGCTTTTTCTCTGGGGCCCCAAGCAAAAGACAAAGCTGATTAGCTTGAGATCCAAGCAGAATAGAGTACTAAGAAGAACTGATAAATTAAACTCATTTACATTCTTCCTGTAAAGATTCTTGAAAAGAAAAAGTTTCAGATGTGTTGTCTACTCCAGACATATTATTACACATCCCCCCCCTTCTTCCCCCCCGCCCCAGTTTAGGCTTTCTGTTGAAGAAGAGGTATGTAGCTGGAAAAAGCTAGATCTAGACTTTGAATTACAGTGCATAATGTTGCTTTCGCAAGCACTAAAGACCAGGCACACCAAATTTGGAATGGAAACGACAGCGTGTTTCAACCTCTTACGACTCTTACCCAGCAACAGCCCACTTACAAGGCTGGCAGAAGGGAACACAGAGGATGACTGCTTTAGAGCAGCATGCACGTGTCTGTCATTTGTAGAAAGTTATGTGTCTTATGTGGCATTGTCATGTACTATATTTTTCAGTCTTTCTCTCCTATCATTTTTTTACTTGGAAAGACGACTATTTACTTCATTTTTTACATTGGACAGATATAGTTTCTTCTCCCTTCCTGTTTCTCAAGGTTATTTAAATAAGACTCTAGTGATTTTAAAAGACGTGAGAGATGTGATATTGAAAACCCTGACAATGAAATCCTACATTAGCTTCATTTGTGAAATGATGACACAACAGTGTTTTACACAGGCTGCAGCCAGCCGATGTTCTGAACAGGTCAAGGGCAAGTCCTATGCATTTGAAACTAATTCCGTTTTTCTTGTTTATTTCCTTTTGAACTCTCTTCTAAAGCTGTTTCATGGTTTTGATGCTAATGATGATAATGATGGCACTATTTGTATTACCCTGATACCACAGGCATGTCTTGGTAGGGCATATGTTGTATTCTAGCAATTAAAATGCCGGTCGCTAGTGACGAAAGATAGCCTAGTGCACTAGCTAGTACTTTTAAAAGTATGTGTTAATTAGATTAATGCATTTACCAAAATATAGCCACAAATAAAATTCATAAAAACGTATTAATTTCCTTAGCCCCCTCCCATGTAGTTATGCACAGATATGTACGTTTTTATTTATACAGTTCCTAGTGATGCGCTGATTCTTCCAGAGGGCACAGTGGTGGGATAATTGCTTAGATATCCATTTTCAGTTCCAATAAATGCCAATCTGGCTTTTTAAGTGTGGCAAATAAACAGCTTTGAAAGATTTTTATCTACATTTTAAAAAATAATTTATTAGTTTTTTCAACTAAGGAATTAAAAATCCTGACTGTTTTAATGTCAGCTTAAAAAGGGCTAGGAAAGCTGCAGATAGTATATGCTGTAAATCTGTGCCATGGCAGAAACAATCAGAAGAGTAAAGAGTAATGATTAAACATTTAATCAGAAGCATTATACTTTGTTGTGTTCTCATTGTAGCTGCAGGAAAAGATGCTGTAACAGATCTTTAAATAGAAAACCTGAGGCTAAATTCTACTTCATCCATCAAAAGCAGCTGCTAGGAGATGACCTAATTTTAGTGGCTTATCAATTCCTTAGTGCTTGTTGGTTGATGTAACTTTGATCCTCTGATGCTAGATGACTTTTGTGCTGAATATAGCTAGAATTTAATGTGAATCTTTTGGATGGCTGCCCAGCCAAGCTGCATAATCCAAACAAAGAGAGCGAGCAGTACATGATTCAAGCTGCTCACGTGTACAATAATACAAATATATGTATCCTGATTCCTTTGGGCAATCAGCTCCATGTCACCAAGCACATATTTCAAACACAATGTCCTTGTGGGGTTTTTTTTGTTCTGATTTTTTTTTGTTTCTGTTTTTGTAGGTTTTTTTCCCCCAAACAATGCTCTGCTTTTCATTGGAGAAACAACACAAGATGCAGTGAGACTCAGCTGCTGCCAAGAAATAATGATAGAGTCAATAATTGCAGGACGTTTTTAATGAATGTTTTCCAAGCAAATCATTGCCATTTCAAAGGGCTGTTATTTCTATTTATGTAGAGATTAGCCTACATGTTATCAAGGAAAGGGAATAGTGATTTTTTTTTTAATCATTAGTTTTTGTAGCATTTTTAACTGGTTTTTGTTCTTTAAATAACAGAGAATATCTTTGTCTCTCTTTCTAGCTTACTTTTTATCTAGACTTGTTTTCCTTTTCCTTTCTCTCCTTCTCTTTTTGGCTCTTCACTAAAACCATCTGTGACACACATGCAAGTTGATGGGTGTGTGAGCAATGCTTCACACATATTTACTTGCCCTACTTGGCATTATTTGCTAGTCATTAAAGATTATGCAGGAGTTTTTCATGTCCCATTCTTTTTATTCTCTTAGCAAATTAAGATAGGAATAAGAGTGTGGTCAGGCTATTGGACAGGGTTTTTTTATTATTTTTATTTTTCTTTTATTTCTTGGAGAGACTGTGTTTAGAGTTTAGACTGGGGAGGATTTAGACTGGGAGGATTAGACTGGAAGGATTTCTGGGTTTTCTTCCTGGCACTGACAATCATGCATTGTGTGAGCTTGAGCCAGTCACTTAGGGCCTGTTTTTCACACTCCAGTTGAAATAAATGGAAACTGCATGTGCTCAGCACCTCTGCAAACCAGGTCATTTATCTCTTCTCCTTTCATTTATGCACCGATAAATATAACAATCTTTGCCTTTGCATATGCAAACTGGATAGAAGGATACAAATATGGGCAGTTAAACATGCAAATCCCTCATTTTGATGCACAACCATCCATTTCATACAACCAGGGATTTCTACATTTGCCTTGGGTCCATTTTGAAAAAATGGACCATAAATAACAAAATCTATACAGACTTGTCAGGGAGGCACAACTGAAATCAATATGTTTCTGTAGCTTCTTTTCTGTATTTTCACTTCTGTTAAAAATACTATTAGCTAAAATAATCGTTTTAGCCTACTTTATTACTGGATTAAGCCATGTTGTCAATGTGCAAATGCCTTGGGCATTACATGCTAATTGTAGGTTATTACACAAGACTCAGTGTTAGCTTTTTGACACACTTTGGGATTCTTAGGTGGGTTTCATTATCATTTCATGATACCTGCATTTCTTCAGTGACAGTAAGGATGTCCAGAGTGCCGCAGTGAAATGCCTATAGTGTCTCAGTATCCCTTCTGGACATATAGTAAAGGCCAAATCTGGTACAAAAAGCAGGAGAAAGTTTGTAATAAGCAGTCAGATTGACATCCATTTTTACTCTGCCTACCACTGCTCAAAAAAAAAAAAGTAATAAGGACAAATTTCTTCAATGGAAATTTGCATGTTCATTTAAATGCTACTGTTCCTGATATACAAATGTCAGTGGCTCATGGCTTCTGACTTCTATGTCCTGCTTGTGCAAAAACATGATGGAAATCAGAAGCACTGAGGTCTTTCTTGCAGTCACAAGATATTGTCCACCAGCTTCAATACAATTCTGCTGCTTTAAAATGATCAAATTTTGGTGAACATAGCATTTAAAAACATATAATATCCTCACCTTTGCTGTGGAAAAAAGTTTAAATGCTTATGTTTTGCCCAAAGTCTCACAAAGATACTAAAGCATAACAAGGACATCCTACCAGGGCTTCAAATCTGGATCCTGCTTTGCTGGGACAATTCTCCTGTCTATACACCCTCATTAGCCACTTTCCCTTGAACCCCAAAATGCTCTCGTTGTCATGTGATGCACAAGCCCATCACACATCTAAAATGCAGATGGATGCTCATATATCCTAGAGGAAGCCTTTTTGCCCAAGGTATTGTGCGTTCACATCTCCAGTGCCTGCATCAGTCACAGGCTGGGGAAATGCTTGGATTTTCCTTGCAGAAGGTACACGCCTCTAGCGATGGCATGGGAGGATACAGAGTGTGTGCAAAACTCAGCTTCATTTCAGGCTACAGGAATTGTCCTGGCCAAAAGACTGGCCATGGCTGTGGCAGAACAAAGCTGAGTGCACAGCTTCTGTGTTACTGCCCCAGCCTTCTGCATGTGCCACTCAGCTTCCCAAACTCAACCTGATAATTAGAGAGTTGTGTGTAACCATG